ATCTGTTTTTTCATTATTCATACGATTAAAATCATTGATTATATTTACTAATGGTTCATAAAATTGTATTTGTAATTGTTTATTAAATGATTGTTGTCCAGTTGATAAAATTTGAATCAAATTCTGTATATATTGACAATGAATATTAGTTAATGAATGACGATAAAATGATAATTGTTTTGTTTTTATATTTAATTCTAATTTTAATAAATTTATTTCATGATTGAATGAACATATAAGTGAATTAATGATTGATTGTAAATAAAATTTTATATTTGGTGATAAACGAAATTGAGAATTAATTCGTTGACAAATTAAATCTGTTGTTATTTGTTCGGGAGCAAATGAACATTTTTGATGCTGCAAAAAAAGAGAAAATAAGAATGAATAAAGATAAATAAATTTTAATATTTTGTTATGACGAATATTACGAATTACTTTTTTTGTTTTATGATTTAATTCTAAAAGTAGAAATCATATTTTCAGCATTCTCAGAGTATATAAATTCATAGAAAAAAAAACAGTTTTCTTTTTGTTCTTCTACATGATTTTCTATTATTTGAACTAGATAACAAGATTTGATAGGCCAATTCGAAGTATTCTGCTATTTTGATTACAAATTTTCTGAAGCCTCATTCTTATTTTAGTTAATCTCAATAACTCATATACTAATTAATCCTCTCTTTTACAAATCTAACATCTCCATCGTATTTCACATTTGAATTCTACAAGAATTATGCTAATAGTTTTCTTCGAAGAATTGATCGATATTGTTTAGAACTATTTCACAAAGAATTATTCGTAAGACTAACTAGTAAGAATATTTTTCTTCCGAAGTTCTTTTTCTATATGTGACAAAAACTACATCATTGATATTCTAGTTATCAATATATCAATAGAATACTTACTCTAGTTGGAACAAGAATTGATAAATAAAAAAGTTCATTAGTTGTAATATTTATTTTATTTGATAATTCTTTTGAACGTTTAATTAAATTTTTATTAAGATCAGGAAAAATTGAATGAT